CAACAGCAGCAGCAGCAGCAGCAGTAGCAGCAGCAGCAAGATAACTGGTTTCATCAACAGATGCGATAGCCTGCTATTTTTTAAGGGTGTTTTCTCCATGCAAAAATGCTATACAGGTTTTGACCCGGTTTCTCTTCTTTTTTTTTCCCTCCAGGGATTCTTCGTGGCACTTCTGTTCTGCTTTCTGAACGGTGAGGTAAGAACTCAAGTTAATCTAGTTGTCCTATTCGTTTATTCAGAAATAAATGTTACCACTGCTGTTTTTGTTTTGTTTTTTTGTTTGTTTGTTTTTTTATTAAGTAGCATGTGGCGTCGGCAATTTATATTTTTGGACATATGGAGTTATTGATATCATCTTAAAGCTTGTTCATTGGTCTTGCTTTTGGTTGAAAAAAACCCACCAATCTTGATAGAAATACATTTTATTTCAAATTGAAGGAACTGGGATCGCCTGGTGTCAAAGTAAAAATTAGCGAGAAAATGTCCGCCGGCCAAAGTTTGGTAACTTTCAAAACTTGAAAGTCCTTGGAAAGTGCGTTAAAAACATGTTTGTGTCTTTGATCTGCGGGCTTTTTTGGTTGGTTTGTTTGTTTTGTTTGCTGTTGTTGTTGTTGTTGTTTTGTTGTTGTTTTGTTGTTGTTGTTTGTGTGGGGTTTTTAATACACAAATGAATGTGTTTTAAATCAAAATATAAAAGGTGATGAGCCAAAAAATAAAATCCGATAAAATTGACAACGGGCTGCGCCGCGCTGAAAATTGTGGATTTCTTCGATTAAATTTCTTTGAAAAGCACCAGATTTCACCACGATGCCACGCAAATGTTTTGAGCCATTTGAGAGAGCTTAGTAAAGTATAATATTGTACAGCTTTCGTAAACGAATGTCTACTCTTCACGTGTTTGGTGAGTCTGTGACGCTGAGTTTCTTTGATCACTCTAGTACATAGTTTAACTATGTCAACAATAGAGACCTGGTGTCCCCAGGTCTGCCAGAACGTCAAAACGTGCAGTCACAGGCATCAGATACAAGCATAATGTATTAAGTGTGTGTATGTTGGGGAGGGGGGAAGTAAATAAATGTACGTTTTGGGTTCATTTTTGTGGTTAGGAAACAGTGGAGAGAAAGCTTTTTATTTTTTATGAGGGTGAGGATCTCTCAAAGGCTGAGGTCTGGGTGCCACTTTGATCCCTAGTACCCTTCTGCCCTGTTCATCCTACTGATGTCTTTTCCATACTTCCTTTCTTTCGCTCAGGTCCAGGCTGAAATAAAGAAGAAGTGGCAGAGATTCCGACTGACGAGATTCAATCACTTACCAAAGGGTAGAAGCAATAGCCATAACCTGACGTACGCCACGTACCTGTCGCGACCGAGAGAGTCGAACGCTTCTGTTACCCAGTTTCAAGAGGCCCGCGATCCCGGCTGTGGAAATGGCAGTGTTACAAGCAAACACGACAACGGCGGGGGCGAACCGGGACCGCCCATTTCCCTCCATGTTCTCAAACGTAATCAGCGTTTAATCGAAAACGGAAGTATGGCCATAGCAGAAGCAGAAGAGGAGGAGCCAATGATTGGGCGTGGTTCCTATCTCTCCGAGGAAAAGGCAACAGTCAATAATAGTGGATCCAACGGGTACACTTGAACAGTTTTTACGCTTACCTCTCCTAGACAAACGTCTACCTTGCTACGTCAGTGACTGCCCTGGTACAATTCATATACACAGGCTAATGTCTCTCTTAACAATACAGAAAGATATAGAAAGTGATAAACTGGCTCAATGGCTGTGATTAAGCGAAACTTCGTACACGATTTGCTTGTTAGAAGAGTCGGATTCGTAGCGATCGGAAAATGTCAGCGAGTGTACGTCCTTTATCTACATTGTGGAGTCCATATATTAAAACCAGTCCTCCACCCACCCCCACCCCTTTTTTTCTTCCCTCAAGAAAAAAACAACTTTAAAAACCGATCCAATCCTAAGGCAGGCAGTTCAAACACAGTGAACCAACATGTCGCTTGACGCCAGCAGCGTCAAAACCAATAAGTAGCACAGTGCCTCAAACATAGGAGTCATTCTGGTACTTTTCTTCCAAAGAATTTCTTTATTATCTAACATTTTTATAAAGATCCTCTGCTGGCTTTGCTGCATCGGATACCCAATCCAATTGTGGCGTAAATAGCTGCAAAAGTGAGCAATATGTGTGGTTTGCGCGTCTGGTCCAAGTGGAATTCGATGTTTTTCATCACTGGCTTTCCAGAGTTCGACCTGAAGTCAAGTCTCCTACAAGAGATTGATTAGGGACGCACAGACCTGCTTCGTCAGTTGTCTTAGGTTATATGTGGCAAATTGTACCTATCTAATTATTTACACGTCTTTATTTGTTTGTTCTTATTGGTATCTTCATAAAAGTATTCACTTGTTTTATTTTCTTGTGATATTCAAGGTAGTTCAAATATTTAAACATATCCAATTTGCTTTTAGGCAAATTTCTGTGAAAAACATTTGCTTCTGTTTTCTAACCATGACATAGGTCTACTCGTAGGCCTAGTAGAAGACCTTAACGTAATCACAGCAACGGTATTTGCGTTACAGAAAAATACCGCATATCAAGTGATTAATTACATTTATACCCCCACCCCTTTACTCTCCTCCTCCTCCTCCTCCTCCTCCT